GGAAGGGTGTGGGAGGAGGGAGATACCGGTGACTGAACCCATGGCTTTCATACTGAGCTGTGTATTGAGCCCTTTTTATTTTTTGAGGCAGGGTCTTGGTAAGTCACTAAGCTGCCCCAACTAGGCTCAAATCTGCAATCCACCTGCTTCCGTCTTCCAGAGGACTGGGACTGCCTGTGTGCACCACCACACCCGGCTTCACTGACACTTTCTCTTTTGCTTGGCAGGACAGTCACACCTGCCACAGGTACACTTCCTGGGGTGACAAGCTTTGGAGCGACAGCAGTGGCACAACACTGATGTTCCCTTTTTCATCTTGCTTCTGCCACAGAGACCAAAGAGCTAAAACAAACAAACAAACAAACAAAAAAATCATAAAGGCAATCCCTAGCTACTGAAAGCAAAATGGAACAAATGAACCTAACTGTACCCCGAGATGGTATGCCACACTAAGAATTATTTCAAAAGATTTTAAAGCAGCCAATCTACGGTACCTTTCTAGAGTAGGATACACCCTAAAGACAGACAAATTAATTGTAAACATAGTAAACTAGGTTCAGTAATCATATGGTTCGATAGTTTTTGTACAGTTGTTCAAAGATCATTATTTATTCTTCCTTTCTGGGGCAAACTGTCTCACAATTACTAAATGAGTCTCTAGGGAAATTTCCTTCTTTGTGCCTACCGAGTGAAAAAGAATGAAAGAATTAAAATAGCATTTTGCAATCACATACTATAAAATAGTGGGTCTAGAAAATAATCATCGTACCCATGGGAGATGATCAGAGCTTTGCTGTGCTTCTTGAGAGACACATGACCATGACCTATGGAGCATATTACCAAAAGAAGTGCTGGATCAGACTAAGCCTCTAATTTCCAAGTTACAAGAAGTGTAAGACATTAACATGAAAACTCAATGAGCAAAATACAGGCAGTCAGAAACAATGGAAACTGAAAACCTAGTTCCTTCAACAAATAAAAAAAAATATTTTTTGAAAAGAGATAAACAGGGAACCTATAATTTAGAGAATTTTAAGAGTCATAACAGCTATTGCCACAGATGGACCTTATTTGGATTCTGATCTCTCTCTGCTCTTCCTCTCTCTCCTCTTCCTCTCTCTCCTTCTCCCCCTCCCTCCTCCTCCCTCCTTCTCCTTCTCCTTCTCTCTCTCCCTCCCCCTCCCCCTCCCTCTGGATTCTCCTTCTCTCTCCCCCTCTGTCTCTCCCTCTCCCTCTCCCTCCCTCTCCCTCCCCCTTTTCCTCTCCCTTGCCCTAAGAGGTGCTGGGAATTGAACCCAGGGTCTTGAGAATGCTAGGAAAATGCTGAGATACAGCCTCACCCTATTTCTTTTTTCCTTATAAATTCTGACTTTAACCACCTATAAAACATAAATACTTTCACCCCAAACATTGAAACAATTAGGGAAATTTCAACATTGACTGGGTATATAATACCTTCAGGAATTACTGTTCGATTTTAGGAAATGATAGAGGTATTATTATGAATTCAAAAAGAAGGTACTACTTTTAGGGATATACAATAACATTTTTACAGATGAAACAAGATGTTTGGATTGGCTTCAAAAAAATCTGGAGGGGAGGAAGCAGGTCACAATGTTGGTTGCAGGTTGCCAGCTCTTGAGGACAGTGATGGGGAACTATTCTATGTGTATACCTAGCAAGACTTTGAAAGAAGTGAATGTAAACATTAAATAGAAAGGAAAATCTGCCAAACACCATGAAAAAGTGGGGCAAACTACACGTGTCTCACAAAGTGAAGTGGCAAGGCAAGCAAACGCACAGTCTGGGAGGTTGACAGCCTACAAAACAGCACTTACTTCTGTTCTAATCACTGCGTCCATGCCTCATTGCTAAGACAGGGCTTCCTCCAAATACCTCCCAACCTGGAGGAGACAGGCCCCTCTCCTGGGAGAGAACATATTTCAGCACTCAGAAGCAGCCAGCAAATGAGCAGGGGCTGCGGTGAAGCAGCAGCAAAGGTGGGCGTGGGCTGAGCTGGGCCTGTTGCCAAGGAGACATGAACCTGAGGCCCTCAGAGCTCCCCTGCGAATCTGTGCAAGTGAGGCAGCATGAGGTGACATGCTGTCACCAACAACGGCAAAGAAAGCCTTCGGTGAGAGCAGACTAAAATTTTATATAGTTGACGTGGTTGCTTTTACTTACGTTATTTTTTGTCATCATTGAGCTAAATTTTAAGCAGTAATATTAAAATCTGATTTTAAAAAACAGACATATTTTACATTTCTTACAGGAGAATGATTAGAGGGGCCTGAACTATGAAAGGAAGATTAGAAAAAAATTCTGAATCCAGAAACATAAGATTAGGCTTTGATTCTCTACTATTTATTCATGCTATTATTTTCGCTCTACTTTTTTTTCCCCAACCATGGAAATCTACAGTTTACATTCATGGTTCTCAAGGTGAGAGGGCACATTTCATAGGATATGATGAAGAAGAAGTAGGTATCTACAACTTAAAAATAACCCTGAGCTGGGTCTGGCAGCTTGTGCCTGAGCCCCAGCTATTAGGAGGTGGAGGCACAAGGATCACCGCAAGCACAGGGACGCTGCCTCACAACATGCTAGCAGGAAGTCCAGGTGGCTCGGACATCAACATGCCCTATCAAAGGACCATTCCTTTCTGGGGGCCTCTGTGAGGTGGCTGAGGTCTGTGCGCTGCTAAAATGTACCTGAGAGAATCAAGAGGGAAGCTGGCCATTACTATCTCGAATGCCGCTGTAAGCTAAGCAACGCTGCAGTGTCAGAGAGGATAGCGAGATCCCCTGCCTGCAGGCTCACGCCACCTCCTGGCCTGCTGGCAGGGGCAGCTCAGAGCTGTGGAGCAGGTCCCGAGGAGGCCGGGGGTCCCACCACAGGCCATCTTCTGGCAAGTGTGCACACACAGCTACCTATCCGCACCACTGTGCCCACCTGGTTGAGGGATGATGACAGGCAGATGACTGCAGTGCTCTTTACAGTCAAACTTGTAAGCATCATAGAAAAGGGTCTGTAGAAAAGCACTCAAGCATCAAAACCAAAAGCAGTTCTCACATCTCTGCAAAGCTTCTTTCGTTACTTGGCATATCTCAGACTATTCTGGCTTCTAGTGCTAATGACACGGACTGCTTCAACTGCATAAAACACACAGACCAACAACAGCCTTCCTCATGCAATTCATACGGACCTGCACTCTTATAAGGCCTCCCACACCGGATGGGCCTGTTTCTCTGGTAATCACAGCATGCACTCACTTTTCTTCATCCAATAGAAAGAGGCATTTTATATATACCATGTAGAAAAAATGCAGGTCATGGACCTGAAATGAGTAGCCTAGTACTACACAGCTTAGGAATAGAAAACATCTTTCTTTTGAGGGTGGTACTGTGTACAGAAGCCAAGGCCTTCCCACAAAGCAACTTCCCAAGCCCCCTTGTAATTTTACAACAGGGTCTCACTAAGTCACCAAGGTGCCCAGGCTGGGCTAAAAATGATGATTTTCCAGCTGTGGCCTCCCAGAGTGCTGGGATCACAGGCATAGACTACCATGTCTGGCTAAGGATCTTGGTTTCTAAGCTCCTTGTCAGTAATAACTCCTCTGACTGCATAATTCCTTATACAGTGAAGCCTCTGGTCTGTAGAACCCGAGTAGCAGAAAAATGATGGCCCACCCCACTGCTCTCTATCGACACAAATTTTTGGAGAACTAAAACATGGTAATGGTGTAGGTTTTAATACTTCAAACTTGTTAACTTTCAAATTAAAGAAACAAAAATCAAAATATTAAAAATTACACCAAAGTTAAACCAAAACTGTTATTTTAGTTGGCCCTAAACGCTCTCTACATACTGGAGAAAAGCTTGTACTCCTGCTATTTTATTGATATTACTCCCCCAAATTTCCATAGGGAAAGGATTATGGATAGGATAGAGCAGGTATTAGGACTATGTAGGCTACAACTTCAAAGAATTAGAAACTCTGAGTTCTACACATCTTTCTCATTCTAGTCACTACCATGTTTTTAGGACATGTATCAATAAGGACACCTGTACTAACACGGACAGGACTTAAGGATAAAAGAACTGAGTCCATTTGTAAAGGCACAGGGCTCTATTTTAGGTCCTGCAAGGTAGGGGCATCTTGTCTCCTCCTTCTGAACATATGCAGTCACTTTTCAAAGTAAGAAACCGTAAAGGCACAGGTTCAAGGACCTCATTAGTTTAACTATGCTATCTTCAGGTCAGGAGCTACAAGGTGAAGATGGCGTAAGCAGTCTGGGTGGGGAAAGCCGCTTGCGGCACCCTGCACACCGAGACCTGGGATGGACTGCAGAGTGCTGCGCTCAGCACTGCCAACCCCAAACCCAAAACAAACACAGCAGAAAACAACTGATCTGAGCAAACAATCGATCCAAGATTCAAAATCCCCTTTTGGAAAGATCAGCCAACTGACCTTAGTTTTATAATGACAGTTCACTCACCCTGGTCTTATTTAAATTATAGACTGGTGCTTTCTGGAGGTAAACTTGGATAAGCAGGATAAATATGAACTGATACTTTCCTGAGAAGAAAATAGCCCCAAATGCAGCAGACCACTCCCATGAGATCAAAAGCCAATACACCTGCACGGGCTTGGAAAGTGTGAGACTTCCTGCAGTCTCACCTACGTGATGGGCAGAAAGGCTTTGGTAGGAGAGGCTTTGCCCAGACACCAAGAGCACCCCTTACCTTTCAGATCTAAATGGATCATTCCAAATAGTTTCCAATCTTAATTATTAGTATAATATTTATATCCTTTTAAGTTTACCAGAATTGTTTTAACTGCTTCTAAAATCATAAGCCATCCCTTCTGTCACTTACCCATAAGACATTCAAATCAACTAGAGCCCTTAGAGCTGATTAAGATGATTTAAAGGAATAACAAAACATTTAAAGACAATATCTAAGAAGGTCTATATACCAAAATGTAATTGTATCACTTACCTATCAGCCCCTTCTCCAGAGTGAAGATTTTGTTTGTAAACATGCACTCAAAAGCCACAATGTGAAAAATCTTGTTCACTGTGTTGTGAGTCCCAACTATTCGAATATACCTGAGGGTAAAGGAGAAAACAATCCGTTGGAGATGAGCTCCACCACAACCAACCCAAGGTAAGAAACACCGTTTAAATGTAGAGTGCATCAGAACACGGACTAAAGGAGACCGTGAACTTGATTTCAGACTGGGCTATGTGTTTTCAGGCTGGTTCCGAATGAGCCTAGAACAATCACAGCAAAACCAGGGAGCTATTTCCCAGAGAATTCAGTTAAGCTTAGATTTACATTTACCTAGAAAAATCACACCAGGTACTGTCCCATTAATCCTTGAGCATCAGTACAAGTCCACATCCATGAGGCATTTATACTAGAGAGTAACAGCTTCTGCCCTCACGTAATGGTTAGAAACGTACCCATGCACATGTGCACAAACACAGGCAAAATCAAATGCTTTCCAACTCAATGAAAGATCTCACCCATTGGAGACAAGTATATAAATCAATACTGCTTTCCCTTTAAAAGAAAAAAAAATTCACAGAAACTACTGAAAACCCCATAGAGTCTTTTATTTCTGCATTGCTCCTAAACACTTGTTAGGAAGCTAACCCTACACACTTACGCCGCTCCCTGCTCCTGCATGCCGGGAAGCCTGCTGCCCAGAGGAAGTGACCTACAGGATAATCGAGCCGCCTGCACCTCCCTTCTGGCCGCCTGGACCTGGCACCTGCACACAGTGCGGGGTTTTGCCAGGCAGGTCTTGAGCATCTTGGCCTGTTCACCTCGGCTCCCTGCACGCTTCATCTCTTAACAAGCATTAACCTTGGCATGACTTGCTCACTTAGCTCTCTAAAGAGACCAGCAGTTTGCAGGTTAATGCACAAACTTACTTTTGTGAGTGCCACACAATTAAACTGGGAATGCGTCACACACTGTCTTTTGGAATGCAAAGGGAAAATCAAGAAAAATAACTACATCAACTGATAATGTGTTTCCAAATTATGAACCATGCACTCTGAAGGACAGGGCATGTTAAATGAACAGAGTTCAATTAGAACAAAACAGACCACCAAGATTTTAGTAATATCCCTCCTTCTGTGTGTAAAACAACTTCTGATTTAGATGTGATATAATTTTAGTTCCAAGTTAATCGCCGTTCACTAATTCTGCAATTTTCTTATATTTCTCATCATTCTGAGTTAAGTGCATAATGTAAAAGCCAATTTTTATAATTCACATTAAGGAGGCTATATTTAGGGTTTCTGTACCATGGGTTATCTTCCCTCTCGTTTCTTCAAGTCTGAATCTCACGGCACTCCCTGTGCACCTCATGTGGCCATCTGTTCCTTGACGGGAGCTGATCACTCGTCCTCAGAACCAGTATTAACGCTATCTCCTGGACCGCTGTTCAGTGTGCTCAAATGCTCTGCGGTGAGACAACTCTTCTGTGTGGAGACTCAGGGCTAGGCTACTCCCACTGAAGCCCCTGGGTAAGCAGGAGGTTGGCCCTGCCCTCTGCAGCCCGCAAGGCAAACAGAAAGGTGCTGATTTTATGTGGGTTCATTCAAAAGTGAGCTCTTAATGGTCTAAGTAGTACAGACAGTGTCGTCTTTTACTGGTGGCAATGGCAGTCTCCCTAGTGCTTTCCGGAAAGGAAGAGGTGTGTTAAACCTGGCACCTTGTCCCGAATCTAATTTGGTCCATTTCCTTAAACCACAGGAGCTCAACCAGCAGAGCATTTTCAACCGCACATGGCTGGCAACCTTGGAGAGAATGTGGTTTGGTGGAATTTGATCAGATCACCTTCCTAGCCCTTAGGTGCAGTCTCTCCAAGCAGGGACAGGTTTCCTACTGTGCACAGTACAGAAAGGCCAGGAAGTGACCAAAGGGCTGGCTCTTCTTCCATGGTCGTTCTGCTTATTTATTTTTATTTATTTATTGGATACAGGGTCTCACTATGCAGCTTGGACTCATAGTGATCCTTATGTCTCAGCCTCCCTAGCACTGGGATTACAGGTGTGCGCCATGGTTGGTTTCAGGGCCAGCAGGGCATGCACGGGGTTCCAGGACTGGCATGGCATATAGGGCTGGTGATTGAACTAGGGTTCTTGTGTTGCCAGGCAGGCACTCAGACCACCAAGCTATCTCCCTGGCCCTCCATGGGCATTCTTAAGCTTAAACATAGTCCTTGCTGACCTAAGGAGACCTACAAAATTCGCTCTTCCCTCCCCCTTTTAATATTCTATACCATCAGACTTTCCAAATTTAGATAACAGCCATTTCCCAAATTTCACCCTGATACAAAGGTCAGGAATGGAAGTGAACATGCAACCTTCCTCTCCCTTTTGAGGCCTCCCCCCATCTCCAGTTATAAACAACTGAAAATAAAACACTGCACTGTCATATGTTTTATAGTCTTAATGATAGTGTTCATGATAATAAACAAAGATATATATATATATATATATATATATATGGCTAAAAAAGCACTGAGAGATGCCTCCAGATAAAAAGTTTCACATAAATGAAGATAATGTTATCTCTGCTGCATAATCCTGAGGTCAAATTAGCAATTCACCACTGTTTATCACACTTCTTGATTAGCCTGCTATATGTAACACAAGTTTAATTATTCTAGTTTTACAATACTTCCTAAGTTTCTATAAAGTTGTATCATAATTTACAAAAGTGGCATGAAGTCCTTAGTCCAATATACATTTTAAAAAATGTCAATGTCATTTAAAAATGCCCCTTTTGCTCAAGCATGAAGTTGTAAATACCTTGGGCTTTTTACTAAAACTCTGGACTAGAGACACGGCGGCGAGTGGCGGCTGCAGGCTGGAGCTCTATGCTCAGGGCTTGGAGGGCCTACTGTGCTCGGGGAAGCGGCACCCGATCCTGAGCAACGGCAGGGCACAGGGGCAGCACAGGCCCGCTCTGAATGATGAGCGCATTTCCTTAAGGGGACACATGACAGCATATCCCAAAGGGAGAGCTACTACTACCCGGTTACTGGAAACCTACAGGACGGAATGGAAGAGCGCCACCCACACTGTTCACATTTTTTGAAAAACAAAACTTGGCCTGACACCTAAATGGGAGAAACAGACATCACATTTTCTCTGTCGCAAGAGATTCTGAATAACAAACAAGTGCAAGAGTCACAGTATTTACTTCTTTTCTTCTCAGTACCATCTCTCTAGGGCACCGTCAGACTGACTTAACCTGGCAATGAAGGCAGTGGCGGCTAGTGGCTTCACCAGCATGCAGAGGGCGACCGCTGGAAACTCCTCGCGGGTGTCCTTTGTTCTGTCTGCAGTCCTCAACAGCAGCTCAGACACTTGGAAGATAATTAAAACTCAAATGGTGCTGGGGAAGGCAGACAGGCAGCAGAGCGGCCCGTTCTGAGGACGATGGGTGCTGTCCACGCGAGCCTCGCGTGACAGTCTGCTTCTAGCACTCTCCTCCCCTCCCTGTGTCAGCTGTCGTCAAGAGGCTGACAGAGCTTGGATCCTGAACACAGTTCAGAACAGGACGTTTCAATTCCAATGGCTGCCGGAGCTGTGAGACTCTGAGTGAAAGAGTCTCTGTCTTTAACAAGATAGGGCCCAAACCCTCCAAGGGTAGCTGGCCAAAGCTGGAAGCTGCGTGGTTTGAAACAATGCAGACTTCGCCATACAACAGAATGAACTTGCAGCCTGGCCCTGCCACTTAATTTGGAGAGAGAGGGAGA